TTATCATTTTGTCTTTGACTTTTTAAAAATTAAGTGTCATGAATTAATTTAGTCACTACTAACTGCTATATGGAAAGTGAATTTGCTCTGTAAATCTTCACCCAAATCAAAATTAAAAAAAAAAAAAAATTAGTCATACTTAATTCACATCCTCTTAAGTTAAAAAGAAATGTTACAATTAAGTTTTAACATTCATCCATTAAAACTTTCCAGAAGGCCTGGTTTCAAAAGAAAATCTCCAGCTGGTGATAGAGCTGGGTATTTTATGGCATTTTCTGTTTTGATCACAAACATTTTAAGTATCATGGGGATAAAAATTCTCTGTTTTTTCTATTTTATTCTACTAGAGCAGTTTTCTGGCTTGCTCAGTATGATCTTCTAACATGTATACAATTAACTCATAGGTAGACAACATACTGAAAGTTTTCATTCATATCAAAATGTTTTCTGATTTTCCTTAGGATTCTTCTTATACTTGTTGGCTGCTTAAAAATGTATTGGGGAGCTCTGGTGGTATAGTGCCTAAGGTATTTGGCTGCTAACCAGAAGGTTGGCAGTTCAAACCCATGAGCCACTCCTTGGAAAGAAGATTGAGCGGTCTACTTCCGTGGTGATAATGCCTCGGAAACCTAAGGAGGGGTTGCTCTGAGTTGGATCCGATTCCATGGCAGTGAGTTTTTGTTTTGTTTTTTTTTTTTTAAATTTCTACATGTTTGGGAATTTTTCAGATTTACTTCTCTTATTATTTCCTAATTTTATTTTACATGGTCAGAAAACATACTTCATGTGACTTTATCTCTTTCAGTTTTTTGTAGCTGAACTCATGGCCTATGCTGGTCAGTGTTCCGTATGCACATGAGAAGAATGTTGGCTGGAGTATTTTATAGATATCTGTTGTTTAACTGGTTTAATAGTGTTATTCAAGTCTTCTTTTGCTTGCTGATTTTCCAATTGTTCTTTACATTATTGAAAATGGAGTGTTGAAGATTGCAACTATTATTGTTAAACTCTATTTCTTCCTTAAATTCTATCAGTTTTTGCTTCATATGTTTTGGAGCTCTGTTAAATGCATGTGTATTTATTATTACTATTATTATATTTTGTCAAAGGACTGACCTTTTTATCATTATATAGTGTCCTTTTTATGTATATTAACATTTGTATTAAAGTTTATTTTGTCTGATTTGTATTAGTATTTGAATTACCACTCCACTTGTTAGTAGTTTGCATAGAATATCTTTTTTCATACTTTCACTTTCAACCTATTTGTGTCTTTGGATCTAAAATGAGTTTCATATAGACAGCATATATAGTTGGGTCATGTTTTTAACTCCATTTTGTTGATGGCTGCCTTTTAATTTAATCCATTTACATTTAAAGTGAATTATTGACAAGGAAGGAGCTCTGGTAGCATAGTGGCTAAAGCACTTGACTGCTAACCAGAAGGCTGGCGGTTCAAACCCACCAGCCACTCCTCGGAAGGAAGGTTGGGCAATCCTACTTCCGTAGTGATACTGCCTCGAAAACCCAAGGAGGGGTTGCTTTGAGTCGGGGCCAACTCGACGGCACATAACAACAACAACAACAACAACAATTGACAAGGAAGGACTGTTGCCTTTTGTTTTCTATATGTCAGTCCTTTTTTGTTCTTTAATTTTTCCATTACTACCTTCTTTTATTTTTAGATACTTTTTTTTTTCTACAGTACTGCTTTGATTTCCTTTTGCTATTATAAATTTTAGTTATTTTCTTAGTGGTTGCTGTGGGAATTATAATTAACATCTGAATTTATAACAATCTAGTTTGGATTAGTACCAACTTAATATCAATAGTATATGAAAACTTTGCTAATATATATGGCTCTATCCCTTCCCACTTTTATACTATTATTGTTGTTGTTATGTTCCATCGAGTTGGATCGGACTCGCAGTGACCCGTCCTTGGGTTTCTGAGGCAGTATCACTATGGAAGTAGACTAGCCCCATCTTCCTTCTGAGGAGTGGCTGGTGGGTTTGAACCGCCAGCCTTCTGCTTAGCAGTCAAGTGCCTTAGGCACTATGCTACCAGAGCTCCCATACTATTATTAGGACAGATTATATTTTTATATATTGTGTGCCCATAGACATAGATGCATAAATATTGTTTTACACAAAACCAACTAACCAGTTGCCATCAAGTCGCTTGAGACTCATGGCTGCCCTATGTGTGTCCAAGTAGAACTGTGCACCATACGATTTTTTAGTGGTTTATTTTTTGGTGATAGATCACCAGGCCTTTCTTCTAAGGTGCCACAAGTAGACTTAAACCTCCAGCTTTTCTGTTAGCAGCTGAGTGCATCAGCATTTACACAACTCAAAGACTCCTCTGTCCACTTCAGATGGAATTCATTGGTGAGATACCCCTACTGCAAGGAATCTCAAGAGGAAGACAGTCAGGCACTGTTTGTGTGTAGCCTCTAAGGCCAGGTCCTTAGTCAGGAGAGAGCTGTCTGTGTCTGTAGCTGGGTGAAAAATAATGTGACGTTGGGGAACTGCGTCCTGAAGCACAATGATCTGGGGGACTAGGGAAAGGGAGCTTAGGTGAATACTGGGGAGATGATGGGAAATAACATTGAAAAGGCAAGATGATGAAGGCATTTGGGAGCTACTAAAGGGTTTAAGCAGGAGAGTCATCCAAACCTAATGCCGTGGAGTTGATTCTGACTCATCGTGACCCCTATTGGGTTTCTAAGGCTGTAAATCTTTATGGAAATAGATTGCCTCATCTTTCTCCTGTGGAACAGCTGGTGGGTTTGAACTACTGACCTTAAATACTCCGGCAGAAAAATGGAAAGTTGGGATCAGGATGGCAAGATGGAAGGCAAGGAAACATGTTAGATAACTATTAGTTATTTTTATTTTTTAGTAGGTCATAGATGTTCTGGGAGCTCTGGTGGTATAATGCCTAAGGCATTTGACTGCTAACCAGAAGGCTGGTGGTTCAAACCCACCAGCCACTCCTCGGCAGTGAGTTTGTTTTTTTTTAAAGATGTTCCAGGAGTCCTGGTGGCGCAGTGATTAAAGTGCTCTTCAGTTAGCCAAAGGTTGGCAGTTCAAACCTACCAGCCACTCTGTGGGAGAAAGATGTGGCAGTCTGCTTCTGATTTACATAAGACTTGGAAACCCTATGGAGCAGTTCTGCTCTGTCCTGTAGGGTTGCTATGTATGAATCGACTCAGTGGCAGTGGGTTTGGTTTATAGATGTTCCATTAAAAAAAAAAAAAAAAACTCACTGCTGTCCAGTCAGATCTGACTCATAATGACCCCTCCTTGGGTTTCTGAGGTGGTATCACTATAGAAGTAGGTTGCCCAATCTTCCTTCCAAGGAGTGGCTGGTGAGTTTGAACTGCCAACCTTCTGGTTCACTGTTAAATGCTTTAGGCACCGTATGAGCATGAATTTTGTCACTGAAGAAAATATATCGACCCTTGTTTTTTAAGAAATCTACTTTTAGAATGATTTTCTCTGTGATGTAGTCCCAATATAATAAAATCTAAAATTAAAAGTGCAATTGGAGATGGTTATTCATTTGACCCTTCACCTCTTTGATCAACAAAAAATTCATCATGGTTTTCTGTTAAATAATCATCCTTTTCTATTATGTTACAAACAGCTTAATGTACAAGTTATATTTTATGTACAGTTTTTAGGAAACATTAATTTTATTAAGTAAATTAAAATGAAAAATATAACCACATAATTTGCATAACTTATACCAGTAATATTATAGTTCTAAAGCCTTCTATAGGTCGCAAAAATATTCACACTTAGGTTGAAAGTTTTAAGTAGAACAGTAGCCTAGAGCAACAAACCCAAGAAAACTGTTAATGAAAACAATAGTTTATAAAGGAAAGCATGACAGACTAATTATAGTGTCTCCCCTTTGTTTTTCTTTAACCACTCTTTAGTCCCAGGTACACGGTTTTTATTTTTGCTTTGGTTTTTTTTTTTTTTTTCATTTAAGTCTTTTAGTAAAGTAGTTTCAGGAAATTAATTGGACAAATATTTAGCTATAAAACAAGAGGTAAAATTTAATAAGTAACTTAACTGTCATTTTTCCTCAACATGAAAATGTTAGTTATTGGAATAGCTTTTAAACTTAGTAGAGAATAAATTTTGAACCCCAGTTTAACAGTGTATTCTTTGTTGTTGTTAGTTATTTTCTACTGTCCATGTAGAATGATGGTCTCTGATTTTAGCTGTGCACACAAGAATACATAAAATGTAATTTTAATATCCACTTAATCTAAAGTATTCTTAATGAGCTGTAGTGACCTTTTAAATATATTTAAAGTATATTAGAATCAGAATGGACTTGATGACAACTAACAACAGTAATTAATAGTAGACAAATTATTTCTGCAAACTAGACTTAGGGAAACTGGACAACATTGAAAACACCCTTTAAGGTACTTAAAAACATGTCAAGTACAATATACATAACTTTCTAATTATCGTTATTTTGGATAAATACAAACTTAACTGGCTTCAAATGGGCATGCTTTTGACATGTGAAACTGAGATTCTTATAGGCTAAAGAAACTGCATATGGTAAACTTGGGATTCAGAAATTGGCTTTAAAAATCTCAAATAAATAAAGACCTGCTTTGAAGATACACAGATATATTAATTTTTAATTTGTTTCTTTTTTATCTCTTAATTACCAAAAAAGATTTATTGGTTAATTTTAGGAAAGCAAGTGTTCGAAGTTTTGGCAAATGCTGCCTTCTTTAAATGACTGTATGTTAATGAAAAGTTAAGAGCAGAGCCAAATTAGATTGAGTAATTGTTCAGTCATGTGGGTCAGGCTAGTTGCATAGCCTGGTTGTTAGACTGATTGCTCAAATTACATTGCCTCGGGTCCTGTACTTGGTTGGCTGTCTTCTCAGACCTTAACAAGGTTCTGGGAATTTCTTTTTCTGACAAAGTTTGCTTTGTGTTCCCCCCCCCCCCCACTTCCAGGATGCTTCATCTGCAGACATCAGAAAAGCATATCGTAAGCTTTCACTAACTTTGCATCCAGACAAGAATAGAGATGAAAATGCAGAAATTCACTTTAGACAAGTAAGTGAAATAAACCTTTATTGTATATGTTTCATGACAGATGCATAAGTAAATATGTTTATGGTAGAAATATGTAGAATATTTCCATTGGAAAATGAGGTAATAGTTAAAAACACAATATATATTTTTTCATTCATTTTCCTACTGAATAACTTTTCACTAGCGTTTTTTAATTAGAATATTATGTAGGATTTTGTGCATGTGCATTTTAGTGTCTTCACTATATTCCTAAGTAATTTCTTATATTTGAGAGTATTTTTATTTTAAAGTAATGCTTCTATTTTAGTTGGTGGCCATTTATGAAGTTTTAAAAGATGAGGAACGGAGGCAGAGGTGAGTGTTCATTTCTGCTTTTGAATTAAAATGTTATAGTTTCATGCATCAGTTTTTAAAGAATTAAAAATCTTATTAAACATTTTCTTAATTATAAGTTAATATTTATTCTTGTTACTTCCAAGAAGTGTAATGTTTTTAAAATCTGTGTTTAGAGCAGAGTTAATTTCTATTGAAAATATTCACTCACTTGATTGAATACTTATAGGCTTTAGGATCATGAATCATAAAGCTAACATGTCTTGTCTTCATTAGGTAAGATTTTTAATCTGGGTGTCTGTGCTCTGAAATACAAATACAATTTGGCTTCAAATATATTTTAATTTTTAATATATCAGTGCAAGCTGCTACCTGGATTTGGTGGGTTGTTTTGTTGTTGTTTTTCTTACTCTTTGAATGTTTTAGAATTTGATAAGTTAGTAATACTCAAGTTAGTGCCTTTTCTTGATGTTTCGTCACTCTCAAGATAATAAACCATTTGAGAGTGAGAGAACAGACTTGTATAAATTTGTAGAAGACAGGAGTTAAAGAAACATATTTGCTGCTTCTTCCTATTTCTTTTGGCTCCCTCCCTTTCCGTACTCAGCTGCAGTGGCACTTAAACTTCAGGATAGAGGCAGCCCCCTTACTCTGAGACTTTTCTGTGGCCCTTTCAGCAAAGTGATAATATAGTGATACAGTGTTTTGTATTGCCAGCAACTTAAGAAGAGATTGCAGAGAGGCGCCTTTCTTTTACTCATACAGATGTGTGGAATGTAGATTGGGGAAGGCTATAACTCAGACCCACAGTAAGAAATACATTTTGCATCATGCCTCAGGATGCACACAAACACACACACACATCGCTGAAATAAAATTTTACAAAAACACTTACTGCATGAGTGAAGTTGACTAATACTTTCTATTCAAGCTAGGCTAGACTAGTTTTTGTTTTTTAAAAAACGGTGCTGGTTGTGATCCACTAAAATGATATTACAAGATGGTGGGGCATAATATGCAGTTTGGAAAAATGTTGCTCTACAGTGCAATCTACTTCCACAGTGATACTGCCTCGGAAACCCAAGGAGGGGTTGCTATGAGTTGGGGCCGACCCGATGGCACATAACAACAACAACAGTGAAAGAGTACTTAACAAACAAACAAACAACAACAACAACAAAAATTAGTAATTGGAGATTTTAGTCTAATGGTAGCCTAAAAAGTCTATGTCTTTCTGTGGGGGCTAATACATCTTAAAAGGCAAGACCCCCAAAATGATGTTATGTGACATTCTGAATCTTTCTTCAAAAGTATTATCTGGAATTATTCTATATCCTGCAATATTAGCTACCACTCTTCATTCTCATTTTAACTCTTTAATTTGAATACCTTAGTTTGTCAGATTGCAAAGCAAGTTCAAGATATTCTCTTGTAGTGTTCTTTTCTTTATAACAAGGGCTGGCATTGGTCCAGATGCCATAGCAGACATTCCTCTGGTTGAGATAATCCATAGTGTTGAAAGGCCTAGAAGTGTGTTGAAAGAAGAGTTGGTCATTCTGTGCATATTTTCTAGTTGATTTCTCTCAGTGAGTCCCTAGTTTTGTTGCACAAATCAAGAATGTGTCTGTAAAGATAGCTTTATTTAGCCTCCCAACATCTTTGGCATCAGATTTTGTCCTTTTGCTTGTTTGTTTTGAAAGTCTGTAAACTTAGTAACAATTTCTTTAATTAGTTTCTTTTTATTAAAATCATTTCTTGCATATATATTGTCTTCATTAGCATAGACTCATCTAACATATTTTAGGATTAGTTCCCTTTGCATTTATTTTAGAGACTTGGCAGGAAAAAAATGGATTTGACAGTTAAGCAAACAGCTGTAGTATTTATACTCTTTGGGCACAAGTAACTCATTGGCAACTGGTTTTCCTTGAGGCAAAAGTCTTATCTAATCAAGCTGAGAATGCTTCTCCAAAGCATGTGCCTGAGGCCAGAGCACGTATGAGTATTTAAACATATATGAAAACTCAATTCTGCAGACAATTACCTATTGTTTATAATTCCTTTAAGAAAAAAGAAAAAATATATATATATGGTCTTCATTTTTACCTAAATGAAGATCATCTCATACTGGTATTTAAAAAATGCTCCTTGGTATCACAGTTACTTAATTACTATAAATATTCATGAAAGAAATGTTTTTAAATGTGTACTTTCTAGCAATTTACACTTTAGAAAATTATCAGAGACATATTTTCTTGTTTATTTCCCTTATATATAATTGTGTTTTCACTGAAATCACATGTAATCTTTAAATTTTGGTTGAAAAGGAATAGCGGTGAAATAGATAAAACAATAAAGAAGATAAGTTGGAGGAAGTGGGGGAAAAAAACGCCAAAACAAAAAGCCTGGTAACTTTCTTAAAAGCCTTATTTAGTTATAATGCATACCATAAAAGTTATCTGTTTTAAGCATATAATTCCATGATTTTTAATAAAATTACAGTGTCATGAAATAGTAACCTTAATCCAGTTTAAGAGTATTTTTATCGCCTTAAAAATTTCCTTGAGCGCATTTCATTTGCAGGCAGTCTCCGTTCTACCCCCAGTTCAGGTAATCACTGATTTGCTTTCTGTCTCTTTAAATTTCTTATCTGGACTTTTAACAGAAATGGGATCATATAGTATGTAGACCTTTGCGTCTAACTTCTTTCTCTTTGCATTATGTTTTTGAGGTTCATTCGTGTTCTAGTGTTGTAGATCAAGTTCCAAAATAATAACTAGAAAGTCAGCTATAACTCAGAGAGAAATTTAATAAGAGGATAGTAACCTTGCAAGGTGGAGACACACAGGGCCAGAGGCAACACCATGTGTGTCTTCCAGAGCCTTACAAACTAGGAGTTTTTATAATAGTTTTAAGACCATGGAGTACATGATTTCAGAAGACCTTATGCAGGCAGGATACTGATGAAATCCTGACCCTTTTGGGAAAGTCAGGAAGTGGAACAAGGCTGTGATAAATTCCTAATGATAAACCTCAGCTTCCTTCAGGCTAGGTGTAGGCACAATCTCTTTCTAAGATGGAGTCTGTGTGTTCCAACATAGATGCCACAACTTTTTCTGTGCAGATGTATTCTGATGTTGGCTCTTGGTTCGAGTCTTTGTCCCATTTTAGATCGACCCATCTTAGTTCATCAGGCAGTAAAGGAGGGCGAGGATGCACAGGTTACCAAACTGGTTAATACTGACCATGGGTAGCGGGCTAGAAGATACCTCAAAAATGGCCTGTTACCAGGAAATGCCATCTAAGCAGTAAATTTACATTTCATTATTTCTTTTGCAGTGTCCCTACCTTAGTCTCAGGATCTGAGGAATGTGGTTGCCCTGTCCTGTGAGCTGTTTCTATCTTGGTTTTATGATATTAGGAATGTAGTTACAGGGTAGGACTCTTATGTGATTATGGCTACAAGTAGTAGAATTAAGGCAGTGTTTAAATTGAACAGGATTAATACGGAGCTCAGCTTATGAAGTTAGAACATATATTCATCTTCCAGAAATTCTAGTCTGTCTATATTATTACAGTAGTACATACCAGTATTTTTTTCTTTTTTTTATTACTGACTAATACTCCATTGTATGGATATACCACATTGTTCTTTTACTTTTTGGTGGTGACAAATAATGTTGCTTTGAACCTTTACATGTAATTCTTTGTGGGGACATATGTTTCTGTTTTACGTGCCTAGGAGTGCAATTGTGAATAAACTTTTAAACTGCTCCCCTACCCCACCAAAGGCAGAGACTGTAGCATAAAAATAAACACATTTTCCTGGTTAGCGTAAAGAAGCCTAGCTTACCAGCATTTTCTAAACTCCTTAGTTAACTTGCTTATTTCAGGGAACACAGCCCATCTGTGTTCTGACATAAATTTCTGTACAAGTACCCTGAATGTTAGCCAAAATAAAGTACTCAGTAGATACTAATCATTACAAATGTACACTGCATTGTGGTTTATTAATAATATTTGCTTTTATTTAAAATCTATTATAAATATTTAATCAGGTTTTTTTTTTTGGGGGGGGGCCTTTTGTTGTTATGTGCCATTGAGTCTCAGACCCAACTCATAGTGACCCCTCCTTGGGTTTCCGAGGCAGTATCACTACAGAAGTAGGTTGCCCCATCTTCCTTCCAAGGAGTGGCTGGTGGGTTTGAATCGCCAGCCTTCTGGTTAGCAGTCAAGTGCCTTAGGCACTATGCTACCAGAGCTCCTGGGGAGGGCCTGTGCACCTTTAAATTTGTTCGGGCTGTTTTATGTTACTGTATTTGTAAGAGCCCTGGTGGCATAGTGGTTAAAGCATTTGGCTGTTAACCAAAAGATAGTTGGTTCGAACCCACTGGCCCCTCCATGGGAGAAAGGTGAGTCAGTCTGCTTCCATAAAGATTTACACAGCTGGAAACTTTATGTGACAGTTCTACTCTGTCCTAAAGGATTCCTGTGAGTCACAATCAACTTGATGGCAGTGGGTTTATACTTGTAAAAGCTGAATATGTATTTCAGTTGACTAAACAAAATCAAGAGCTCTGGTAGTACAGTGCCTAAGCACTTGACTGCTAACCAGAAGGCTGGCTGGAGGTTCAAACCCACCAGCCACTCCTCCGAAGGAAGGTTGGGCAATCTACTTCCTTAGTGATACTGCCTTGGAAACCCAAGAAGGGTTTGCTATATGTTGGGTCTGACTCGAGGGCATATAATAACAACAGCAACAAACAAACTCATATTCTTTTACCAGTGTAATTAAAACGATCTCAGCCTTTGTTAAATTTTTACAAATCGACCGGGGCAAGATGGCGGACTAGGCAGAAGGATTGCACAGACCCTCTTCAACAAAGAAAAGGGAAACCAATTAACACAGACACAGAAGATAATCTTGGACC